CCACACTGCTGAAGCCTTCTCGATGCTCTTAAGGGATTGAAGCAGAGCCCTGTGACTGCTAAGTGCTCTGTGCGAGCTGTAGTGTCCCAACCCTTCCTCATGAGTCCTGAATGCCCCTCCATTTTCATCCTGCTCCAAGCCGCACAAGGTTTCTGTTTTTGTTGTTGTTATTTGTTTTTCGAGGCAGGGTTTCTCTGTGTAACAGCCCTGGTTGTCTGGGGACTTGCTCTGTAGACCAGACTGGCCTCAAACTCACAGAGATCTGCCTGCCTCTGCCTCCCAAGTGCTGGGAGCTTCTCATTGTCCTCATCCCATCTCCATAGTCCTGGCACAGAGACTTTACCTACAGGGAGAAGATGGATGGGTTCCCAAAGCCTCCTGCAAACAGATTGGGATGTTGTGTCCCTCAATGGTATGGCGCCTTTCCAGTATGGGAGAGGCTCTGGGTTTAATCCCTAGCAAGACAAATAACAATGATAATAAAAACAGCAACAATAGTAATAATAATAGAGAAATAAAATGGAGCACTCCTGTTGGAGATTAATTGGGAGATTAATCTCACTGGTTTTATGGGTTCATCTATAGGCTGGGTGGATTTCCAGGAAAGTAAACAACAGATGAACACCGACTCAGGAACTATTTCTTCCAAGTGGTCCAAAACAACTGAGCAATTATACAGTATTGAGTAAATTTTAACAGCTGGATGTAGTCTTGGACAAAGGCACATGAAAGGTCAGAAAAAAAAAATACTGCCCCAGTACTTGTGAGGCTGAGGCAGGAGGATTACTGCATGTTTAAGACCAGCCTTGGCTGAACATAGAGTTCCAAGACAGCTATATCCAATGAGACCCTGTCTCATAAAACCCAAAACCATGTAACAAGAAAAACAGGTCAAGTATGGAGGCACATGCCTTTAATCCCAGTACTCACAGCACAGGCTGGAGGAGCCCTGAGTTTGAGTCTAGCCTAGTCAGAGCTATATAGTGAGAATATATAGTGAGAACTTGTCTTAAACAACAACAAACCAAAACCAGCCTCTTCAAAAAAAAAAAAAAAAAATCCTTCAAAAACCCTCAATTGTGCCCAAAGTCACTATGAACATACCCTCCACAGTCACTGTGAGCATACTCTCTGCTGTCTCTGTGAGCATACCCCCTGCCGTGTGGCATGAGTGGCAACTTTAGAGGCACTGAAGGAAGAAGGTAGATATGATTCCCTCCACTGGCATTGCTAAATAAATAAACAAGCAGACAAAAGTCACATGACCCAAAAATAGGAGAACAGGCAACAGTATATTTTCTAAAACGCCCTTTCTCCGAAACAACAGAAATTACAAGGCAGGAAAATATGACTCATATGGCGAAAAAAGCAAACAAAAGCAGGCTGCAGAGACTGCCTGCGCAAGTGGGCAGAGGTCAGATTCGGCAGAGACAGCCTTCAAAGTCACTATTATAAGCAAGGAGCCAAAAGGGTTGTGGTTAAAGGCAAGGACTGTCAAAGGACAATGTCACATCAAATGGTGTATCATGAGAGAGAAATTGTTTTGTTCAAAGTCAGCATGGGCCACATAGCTACAGGCCAGCCAAAAAGAAAGTAGCTGAAAATTTAATAAACTTGTTGCTGGGCAGTAGTGGCGCACACCTTCAATTCCAGCACTCCGGAGGCAGAGGCAGGTGGATCTCTGTGAGTTTGAGGCCAGCCTGATCTACAAAGCACGTTTCAGGTCAGCCCAAAAAGAACAAAACAAAAAATCCACTAGACATGCAGGAAGCAAAAATACTGAGGGCCAAAGACCAAGAGGGAATATATTTTTAACTTAATTTTTTTGGTTTTTCTTAAAAAAAAAAACAACTTTCTTTTTTAAAAAAGACTCGTTTACTTTTATGTGCATTGGTGTTTTGCCCCCATGTACGTTGGCATGAAGGTGCCAGAGTCATTGGAACTGCAGACAGTTGTGAGTTGCCATGTGGGTACTAGGAATCGAACACTGGATCCTCTGGGTGTACAGCCAATGCTCTTAACCACTGAGCCATCTCTCCAGCTCCTTTATTTTTAGTTACATAATTAACATGTACACCCCACATGTGAGCGCTGTGCCCACGGAGGGCAAAAGTGTTGGAACCCAAGGAAGTGGAGTCACCTGCTGTTGTAACCCTCGTGTGTGGCGGTTGGGATCTGAATTCAGGTCCTCTGGGAGAGCAGGAAGCTCTTCAAATTGCCGAGCATCTCTCTTACCTAACCCACTGAGCCATTTCCTCAGTGCTGTTTGTAGCATTTTTATTTGTTTAATTATTGTTTATTTATTTTGAGACAAGTTCTCTCTTTATAGTCCTGGCTGTCCTGGAGCTGGACATTTAGACCAGACTGGCCTGGAATTCACAGAGATCTTCTTGTCACTGCCTCACAAGTTGTGTACTACTATATACAGCATGTGTGGGGTTTTTTAAAGGGTTTGTTTGGTTGGTTGGTTTAATAATTCAGTAAAGGCTGTGCTGGGAACTAGCAGGCTGCTGACCCCGCCCCCAACGATGGGCGGGACACTCATGGCCATGCCATCACTAGTCAGGCTTTACCTGGCTGCCCGAGGACTCAGTTACGCATGCGCAACCCCCCCCCCCCCCCCCCCGTTAAAGCAAGCGCGCCAAGCGTGACCCCTCTATTGCCCTCTCTCTCTTGCTGTTTCTCTCTCTCCCCTGCTTTCGGCTGGCCACCAGCTAGCCCCCTACCTCTCCCTTTCCTCAATAAACTCCACGTGGGTGCTGAGTCCCGTGTTCGTGTTTCTTAGGCAATAGTTGTATCAAAACAACAACAGGCTGAACTTACATTTCTTTTTTATTTTACTTTACATTCCAATCAAAATTCTCCCTCCCACCCCTCTTCCACCCCCCCTTGCTGCCCCTCTTCCTCTCCCCCCATCTACTCCTCTCAGCAGTTAAGGGCTCCCAGGGGGAGTTGACAAAGTCTGGCACATTAAGTTGAGGCATGACCAAACCCCTCCTCCCTGCATTAAGGCTGAGCATGGTATCCTCTCATAGGGAACCGGCTCCAACAAGCTAGCTCATGCTCCAGGGATAGATCCTGGTCTTACTGCCAGGGGCCCCTCAGATAGCTCAAACTTCACAACTGTCTCCCACATGCAGAGGGCCTAGCTCAGCTCAATCCCACGGAGGCTCCATAGCTGCTGGTCCACACAGTTCATGAGTATCCACGAGCTTGGTTCAGCTGTCTCTGTAGATTTCTCCATCAGGATCTTGACCTCCTTTGTTCATATATTTCCTCCTCCCTCTCTCTTGACTGGATTCCTGGAGCTTGGCCTGTTGCTTGGTTGTGGACCTCTGCATCTGGTTCCATCAATTAGTAGATGAAGGCTCTATCATGATTGTTGGGGTATTTATCAATCTGATAGGGAAAGGCCACCCTCTCCACTACTGCTAGGAGTCTTATCTGGGGTCATCCTTGTAGATTCTTGGGAATCTCCCTAGCACCAGGTTTCTCCCTAACCCCATAGTGGCTCCCTCTATCAAGATAGTGGGAAATATCTACCTCAAGACCCAGTGATGCTACTTTTGGGCATATAGGAAAAGGACACTCAATCATAACACAAGGACACTTGTTCAACAATATTCATAGCAGCATTATTCATGATAGCCAGAACCTGGAAGCAACCTAGATGCCCCTCAACTGAAGAATGGATAAAGAAAATGTGGTGTATTTACACAATGGAGTATTACTTAGCTGTAAAAACAATGACATCATGAAATTTGCAGGCAAATGGATGGAACTAGAACAAACCATCTTGAGTGAGTAATCCAGACTCAGAAAGACAAACACCAGATGTACTCACTAATAAATGGATATTAGATGTAAAGCAAGGGATAATAAGACTACAACCCACAGCTCCAGAGAAGCTAAGTAACCAGGAGAACCCTAAGAGGGACACATGGATCACCCTGGGAAGGGGAATTAATGAGATTTCTTGGGTAAATTGGGGGCAAGGAAAAGGAGAGGGGGATGGGAGATGAGAACTTGAGGAAACAGGATGGTCGAGGGGCCAGGGACAGAGAGGGAGAGCAAGGAAAGAGATATCTTGATAGAGAGAGCTTATAATTCTATGTGATCAGGAGGTCAAACAGTTTTGTTTTCCTAGAAAAGTCTTGAGTAGGGAGAGTTGGTGGGAGCCTGCTTGTTATTACATTTGTTTTGTGTATATGTTTGAATGTGGGCGTACACAAGCCTTGGGGCCCGTGTGGAAGTCACAGGACAAATGCTGGAGTCAGTTCTCGACTTCTACCAGGTGGAATCTGGGGATTGAACTCAGGTTGTCAGGACTGGCAGCAGATGCCTTTTCCTGTCCAGCTGCTGAGTCATCTTGGAGTCGGATCTCTTTTTCCTCGGGTCACTGTTCCCTCTGCCCTCCAGTGCTTGTTTCCCCCCAGGCTTCCTGTTAGAGGCCTTCGAAGCAGGAGGATCTTGGGAGATCTGAGGTCATACATTTGAGCAATTGAGAGAATTCCGGAGGCTGTAAGGTAGGGAGGAAGGAGTTTGCATTGTCTACAGTGTCTTGCGAAAATATTTCGTCTCCTCCGAGCCTCAGTTTCCCTGGCTGTCAAGTGTTTCCTTCTGTGCAGCATGTCAGCTTCGGAGAGAACCAATTTATTCAACAGGTGGCAATTCCCAAGGTGAGAGAGTCAGGCTCAACCCTCAGAGTCAGGACAAAGACAACTCCCCCGGGCGGGTCCCGGAACGGCTAACACCTGGGGCTGCTGTGAGGGTGATTGGGAGGGGCATGGGTACCTTTGTCTCGCATCCCTGGCACCTGGGATCCTCGGCTACTGGCCGGGTGGCGCGAGCTGCGCGCCGCAGGTCAGGACGCGGGAAGGGGCGGGGCGGGGCCGGGTGGGCGGAGCGGCGTGAGAGCGGTAGGCGGAGAGGTAAGCCGTGGCTGCCGGCAGTGGGGCCGCCAGGCCCGGTCGGCCCGGGTCCCTGGGTACTGTCTCCGCCGGGTGCTATATCGGCTCCTCCAGGCCAGGGCCCCCGGCGCTGGCCGGGTCCGAGAGGAGGCTCCCCAGACCTCGTGTTCCCCGCACTGAGCGATCGAGCCCAGTGTCCTGCAGAGGACGCTCGTCAGCGCGTCCTCACCACTGTCATCTTGTCACCCCTTTGCCTAGCTCCACCCTCCGGGCTGGGAGACTCGGCCGCTGACGGTCCGCGGTCCGCCGCCCAGACCTTAGGCTGCCCGGGGTTGTCTCCCTGTCCACACGCCCAGAGCCTGGAATGCAGCTCTCCAACAGGGCGGCAGCCAGGGAGGCGGCGAGCCGCGACGTGCTGGCCGCGGACCTCCGCTGCAGCCTCTTCGTCTCGGCGCTGCAGAGCTACAAGCGAGACTCGGTGCTGCGGCCCTTCCCCGCCTCCTACGCCCGCCACGACAGTAAGGACTTCGAGGCCCTGGTGAGTGCGCCCTCATCCAGCGTTGCTCGCTGCATTCTGGGCCAAGTGGCCCCATGGAAGGGCAGGCAGAGGCAGCGCCACCGGTGTTAGGAAACACACCAATTCCTTGGACTTCCATTTCCCAGCCTGGCCTTGGGGAAGGTTCCCATCAGTAAGAACACTCCTCGTGTAAAGACACACTGCCAGATCATTTGGTAGCTGCTTCCTCGTGTCAGTGACTGACTCCCAGGAGTGATGTGAGGAATAGCTTCTTAGTCCTCTACAAAAACGCTCAAATGTGGCCCCAAGGGGCGTTGATCTGAACCAACTGTTCTTACCTAGCTAGGAAGTTGTCCCTCCCGTTGCAACCAGCTACACTTTGCTTTTCAGATAAAGTTACATATAAACAATTCTTATATAAACTGTCATACACAGTGCACATATGTGTTGTAAATTTCTGATGATTTCTAATTCTGAATGTAGGGATTACAGGCTTTATTACCAAACCTGGCCTACAAGGCATGTAATTTCTTGAAGTGATATGGTCAGCATTCCAAACTTTAGCTATCTTTGTTATCCAAATATTTGGAATTACCTGGGAAGATATAACTTACCAAAATTGAATCAGTTAAGAAAATACAAAGTCTCTGGTAGTGGTGTGTACACTCACAGCCTCAGCATTCAGAAGGATAAGGTAGGAGGAGCACAAATTTGAGGCTAGCCTGGGCTACAAAAAGAAATAACAAGCAAACAAACTTTTGAGCCTACTGCTTCATTGATGAACTCTTTCAAATATAGGGGTAATAAATAATTGCAGTCTCCTAGAACTTTTTCTAAATATGGATATGTAGCTAGATGTGGTGGCAGGCAGACATCTGTAACCCCAGCACCTGGGAGGTGGAAGCAGTAGGATCAGTAACAGTTCAAGGTCAGCCTCAGTTTCTGTACAGCCTGGACAACCTAATAATATGGCAAATGAAGCAAGAAAGTAGGAAGGAAAAAGAGGCTGGCATACTCTTGGCATTAAAACTGATAAAGGTAATATAAGAAAATACTCAGCAATGCCATTCCTGAGTATAAATGCAAAAGTCTGGGTCTGGGGAAATGGCTCAGAGGTCAAGAGAACTGGCTGCTCTGCCAGAGGACTCAGGTTCAATTCCCAGCACCCACATGGTGCTTCACAGCTATCTAACTCTAGTTCCAGGGGGTCCAAGACTCTTTTCTGGTCTCTTCCAGCACTAGGAATCCACATGGTGCTCAGATATACATCCAGGTGAAACACCCATATACATTAAAAAAAATTTAAATACAAAAATTCACCACAAAGTATTAGGACCCCAACTCAGTGTATAATAAAAGGTAATTCATCATCACTGGGTTGAGTCCCTGCCAGGAATGCATAACCGTTTCAGTTTTAGGAAACCAATGTAATGAACCATTTAGTCGATGAAAGAAATGTTCAGAATGGACATTTAGTATGTAGCACCATCTCTGATGAGTTCGTGAGAACTGGGTTCCCTCTTTGCTTTTATTCCTTGGAGGTCAAGCAGCAAAGGTTGAGCCTTCTGTTCCACCTGGCCCTTACAAATCCTCCCCAATGTTGAGGATGTCTCAAGTCTTGACACAATGTCCAGGCGGGTTAGGGTACAGGAAGTGGGAAGTCAAAGAAACAGGCAAATTGACTTCCACCACAGTTTATTTCAGCAAGCTCTGGTATTCACTTTTTTGTTTGTGATAAGGCATTTGGGCGCAAAACATGCTTCGTTTTGCTTCAAAGGCTGATTCTCACCAAAAAGCAAGCCCATCCTGGAGTTGACCTCAGTTACTTTGCCTTTATCTGAAGAAGGTGACTTAGGAAGTGTTTTTTTGAAAGAATTCCTCATTCTCCTGCTGAAAGCACTTAGGGAGTAATATGAGTGTTTGACACTTTTGCCATTTACAGTTACTTTTCTCCACACTCCCAGGTGTTATTACATCACTTGTGGTGTAGCTTTGGACAATTAGTGTTCTGGTTTGAATTGTTTTATTGACTGTTGCCTGCTGGGGAACCCTTTGATAAACCAAGGTCTGGCCTTTTCCTGCCCCTGACCCCAAGGCCCTCAGTTATCTGGGAGGTGCCTTGTTTTGAGAATTTTTCTATGTAAATCAATGATTTGATTTTTTTTTTTTTTTTTTTTTTTTTTTTTTTGAGACAGGGTTTCTCTGCTTAGCCTTGGCTGTCGTGGAACTCACCCTGTAGGCCAGGCTGACCTCGAACTCATAGAGATCTGCGTGCCTCTGCATACTGAGTGCTGGGATTAAAGATGTGCGCCACCACCGCCTGGTCAGTTCTTTGTCTCTGCCAGTTCTTTGATTTTTTTTTTTTTTTAATTTGTTTTTTAAAGATTTTATTTAGTATACAGTGTTCTGCCTGCATGTATGCCTGCACACCAGAAGAGAGCACCAGATCTCATTCTAGATGGTTGTTGGGAATTGAACTCAGGACTTCAGGAAGAGCAGTCAGTGCTCTTAACCTCTAAGCCATCTCTTCTGCCCCCAGTTCTTTGATTTTTACATTGAGAATTCTTTGTGTTCTCTGGGCTTGGTCTGGGCAGTACTAACCCAGATTTGAGGAGTGTAATTGAGCAGATTGAACAGGCTGAGAGTCTCTGAACTTGTTTCTTGGCACAAGGGTTTCCTAAGGCCAGGGAATTACAGCACTCTTGGGATTTCCTGACCCTTTGCCTTTTGTCCCCAAACTTTTGGCTATGACAACTGTTAAGCTTTTGTTTGTTTCTTTCCTTTAGAAAATACTAAGTCCTGGTTTGCTGTTAGACCACAGGCCCTTTGCGAGGGTGGGAGGTAGCTGGTGACTGCACCTCTGAACTAACTCCAGGCTTTAAGTGCTCAGCATGTTTGGGACCGAAATCCATTCCCACATCCCAAACGAGCATCCCAAACCAGCATCCCAATCAGCATTATTGTGGGGCTTGTTAGAATGGCAGAATGGAGCTAATGAGCTCCATGAGAAAAAGTGCTTGCTACACAGGCCTGATGACTTGGATTTGGTCCCTAGAACTCATAGTGAAAGGAGAGAACTAACTCCTGCAAGTTGTCCTCTGACCTCCATTGTGGCTCTTTCTCTCTCTCTCTCTCTCTGCTGGAGGCAGAGCAGGCTGATCTCTGAGTTTTGAAGATAGCCTGGTTTATATAGTGAGTTCCAGGACAGCCAGTTAGACTTCACCCCCCCAAAATTAATTAATTAAAAAAAGAAAATGTATAATGTTTTCGATGCCCGGAGTCCTCCTGATACCATTTATACTCCGTGCCCTGGATACTCCACCTCCTGTAAGACTCAGATGAAAGTTCTCCTTGTCGCTGCCTGGCAGAGGTGGTGCATGCCTTTGACCCCAGCACTCGGGAGGCAGAAGCAGGCAGATTTCTGTGAGTTTGAGACCAGCCTGGTCTACAAGAGCTAGTTCCAGGTCAGGCTCCAAAGCTACACAGAGAACAGAGAAACCCTGTCTCAAAAAAAAAAAAAAAAAAAAAAAAAAAAAAAAAAAGGAAAGAATATTTTCCTTGTTCTATGTCTCACTTGCAGCAAGCAGTCAGTCCTATCCCTGGAGGTATTTCATCTGTTTATTTTGCATGTGTTTGTGTGTGTATATTCAGCTGTGTGTGGGCTCCTGTGTGTGAACATACTAGTGTGGAGTCCTGAAACTTATATATGATGTCTTCTCCATCACTGTCTATGTATTAATGCAGGATCTCTCACAGAACCTGAAGCTTGCCAATTCCAGCTAGTCTAGCTAGCAATAGCCTAGCTAGTGCTGGGATTATAGCTGGGCTACACGCCTGCCAGATTTTTTTGCATGGGTTTTAGGGATTCAAGCACTGGTCCTTATGCTTGCATAGCAAACACCTTATCCACTGACTGAGCTATTTACCTGCCCACTCCTACCCTACCACCCCTTTAATGTGATACTGAGGATCAAACCCTGGGAGTTGGCATTTGCTAGCAGACACTTACTCTGTCAACTAAGATACATGCCTGGTTTTTGTTTGTTTGTTTGTTTTTTAAGCCCAGACTGGTCTGGAATTTGGAATCCTCCTGCCTCAGACTTCTGAGTACTTGGGATCACAGGTGAGCACTACTGTGCCTGCTTCTTTCACAGCTTTTAAAAATGGCTGTGGTGGTTTGAAAGAAAATGACCCCCAAAGGGAGTGGCGCTATTAAGAGATATGGCTTTTTTGAGGTAGGTATGGTTTTGTTGGAGGAAGTGTGTCACTATGGAGGCAGGCTTTGAGGCCTCATATATGCTCAAGATACCACCCAGTGTCTCTGACCATTTCCTAGAACTCAGCTTATTCTCCAGTACCATGTCATACCATGATAAGTTTATGAACCTCTAAACTGTAAACTGCCACCCCAACTAAATGTTTCCTTTATAGGAGTGGCTTGTGGTTGTAGTGTCTCTTTACAGCAATAGAAACCCTAACTAATAACCCTAATGCCACAGTAATACACCCTTCTATGTTAATAATTGTTTACATTTCTCATTGTCTTCTTGAGACAGACTCTTGGAGCATAGCATTGCTGGGTCAAAGGCTAATGGAGCTTTGTGAGAAAGGCCTTTGCTGCTATGTCCAGATTAGAAATGGGATATTGACATTTACTGGGATAGATCACATTCTAGACGCTCACCCTTGTCTGACATTGAAGTCATCCAGGAAGCTGAAAAAAACAAACAAACAAAAAAAACCCTGATGCCTGGGTGTCATCCTTATAGCACACATTTTGATTGATTAGTGTAGCCTCAGCATTGGGATTCTTGTTTGTAGATTATAGGTAGCATTTTAAATTCCTATCAATGAATTTGGGGGTTTTCCAAAAATTTGGGGGAGAAAATTATAGTGTTTAGATTTGGTCTTGTCTAATAAAAATGCTTTAGGTAAATACTATAACAGAGCCCTGGCTGTCCTGGAATTCGATTTGTAGACCAGTCTTGAACTGGTCTTGAACTCAGAGATCCACCTGCCTC